GCTAATCTTCAGGGAACTCAGGCTACATTGGACATAATTGTTCCCATAGCTATATTTATTTCTCTCTTTATCTCAGATTTATTTAACTCTTAAAAATTAAGGGTGTTAATATTCTAATTTTGAATTAAGAACACTAAAATTGTATCTGTTTTCTCTTTTGCAGTTGTGCTTCTGACTTCTCCAGGGCATTTTCCATACATACTTGTTCTTTATAGCATTTCTAGGAGATGGGCATTTATATTAGTTTCTTGTGGCTGCTGTAATAAATAGTACAAACCTGGTGGCTTAGTACATCAGAAATTAATTTTGTTCACAGTTCTGGAGGCCAGAAGTCCAAGATCAGACCCACTGGCTGATGTCAAAGTGTGGGAGGACTGTGCTGCCTCTAAAGGCTCTAGGGGAAAATATGTTCCTTGCCTCTTCTAGTTTCTGGTGACTTCCTTCATTTCTAGGTTTGTGGCCACATCACTCCATTTCCTGCATCTGTGGTCACATTGCCTTTTCTTCTTCTCTCTGTGGTCAGATCTTCCCCTGCCTTTCTTTTAAGACTTTTTATTTTGGGGGTAATTATAGAGTTACTTTCAGTTGCAAGAAGTAATACAAAAGGAACCCATGTACGTTCCCCCATTGGTAACATCTTGCAAAATTGTAGTACAATATTGCAACCAGAATATTGACATTGATACAGACAAGAAACAGAATAGTCTCACCATATGGATTCCTGATGTAGTTCTTGGATAGCCACACACCCCCTTCTCTGGCAACCACTAGTATGTTCTCCCTGTCTGTGATTCTGCCATTGCAAGAATGTTCTATAAATGGACTTATGCAGTGTGTAACCTTTGGGAATTGTCTTTTTCTACTTAACATAATTCCATGGAGGTTCATCCAGGCTGTTGCCTGTATCAATGGTTTGTTCTTTTTTCTTGGTATTCCTTAAGATCATTAGTATTTGGTGTGGGTGTATCCATTGAAGGATATTTTGGGTTATTTCTAGTTTTTGGCTGTTATAAACATTCATATACAGGTGTTTTGCGTGAACTGAAGTTTTCATTTCACCGGGATAAATGCCCAGGAGTGCAGTTGCAGGCTCATATTGTGGTTATATAGAAAAATGGGTTTGTCTCTGAACTCTCCATCCCACTGCACTGATCTCTATGTCTGTCCTTAATGCTCATGCCATACTGTCTTAATAATTACGATTGCTTTGTGGTAAGTTTTGAAATCAGGAAGTATGAGGCCTCCTACTTTGTTCTTCTTTTTTAAGTTTGTGTTGTCTATTCTGGTTCCCCAACAAATCCATATGATTTAGAATCAGCTTGTCAGTTTCTACAAAGAACTCAGCTGTGGATTCAGTAGTGATTTTTAATATGTTCATCGAGTTGTACAACCATTACTACAATTAATTTTAGAACATTTTCGTCACCTCAAAAAGAAGCCCTCTGTTCATGAGCAGTGACACTCCCCTTTCCCCCAACCTTTCCCCTTAGATGCAAGTTCTAATCTGCTTTCTGTCTTTGTGTATTTGCCTATACTGGACATTTCATGTAAGCAGAGTCATAGAATATGTGGTCTTTTGTGATTGGCTTCTTTCAACCAACATGTTTTCAAGGTTCCTCCACGTGGTAGCATGTATCGGTGCATCCTTCCTTGCGGCTGAATAATGAGCTGTTCCAAGGCATAGATACCCTGCACTTAATTCTCTGTGGGTCAGTTGACGAACACTTCTTGGCTGTTATGAACATTCAGGTACCAGTGTTTGTGTGCATGTATGTTTTAAATTTTTTTTAACGTTTTTTTTATTTCTGAGAGAGAGAGAGAGAGAGAGACAGCATGAGCAGGGGAGGGTCAGAGAGAGAGGGAGATACAGAATCCAATACAGGCTCCAGGCTCTGAGCTAACTGTCAGCACAGAGCCTGATGTGGGGCTCGAACCCATGAACCGTGAGATCTTGACCTGAGTTGAAGTCGGACACTTAACCGACCAAGCCACCCAGGCGCCCCTGTGCATGTATATTTTAATTGTTCTTTGGTATTTACCTAGGACTTGAATTTCTGGACCATCTGGTAAATACAGATTTCAATTTTGGGTGAACTGCCAGACTGTTTTCCAGGCTGTACCATTGGCAGTGTGTGAGTGTTCCATTTCTCTACATCCTCACCAACGCTTACTCTTATCTGTCTTTTTGATTATGGGATTCTAGGGAAGTTACATTATAACATCCCAGTGGGTATGAGGTGATAACTTCATTGTGGTTTTGATTTGCATTTCCCTGATGGCAAATAATGTCCAACATCTCTGCATGTGCTTATTAGTCATTTGTATAGTTTCTTGGAAAAATGTCTGTTCAGATCCTTTGCCTGTTAAAAAATGTTTTTTTAATGTTTGTTTATCTTTGAGAGAGAAAGTGTGAGCAGGGAAGGGACAGAGAGAGGGGGAACAGAGGATCGGAAGCAGGCTACCTGCTGTCAGAAGCGAGCCCTGTGTGGGGCTCGAACTCACACGCTGTGAGCTGAAGTCAGAGGCTCAACCGACTGAACCACCCAGGCGCCCCTTGGCCATTTAAAAAATTGGATTTTTTTTTTTAATTGCTGAGTTATACTAGTTCTTTATATATTCTAGATACAAAACTCCTTATCATATATGATAAATTACAAAACTTTTCTCATATAGGTTGCCTTTTTCTTGAAATGCAGTTGCTTTTTAAAATGTTTATTTTAGGGATGCCTGGGTGGCTCAGTTGGTTAAGCGTCTGACTCTTGACTTTGGCTCAGGTCATGATCTCACAGTTCATGTGTTTGAGCCCCACTGTAGGTGCTGCGCTAACAGTGTGCATGCAGCCTGCTTGGGGTTCTCTCCCTTTTTCTCCCGCTGTCCCTCCCTGACTTTCACCCACTTTCTCTCTCTCTCTCTCTTTCCCTCTCCCTCTCCCTCTCCAAATAAATGAATAAATATTAAAAAATTAAAATGTTTGTCTTGTATCTACAACTTTGTTGAACACTCATTAGTTCTGGGAGGTTTTTGGAGTAGATTTCTTGGGATTTTCTATGTAAACCATCATGTCCTGCAAATAGGGACAGTTTTACTTCTTTTCTGTGTAGCTTTCATTTCCTTTTCCGGTCTCCTTGCAGTGACTGGGATTTCCAGTAGTACAGTGAACTAGGGGGTGAGCATGGCATCCTTGCTTCGTTCCCAGTGATGGGGATTATACGTTTCGTGTTCTGTCATTACGCATAATAATGTTTACTACGGGTTTTTTTAGATGTTCATTACCCCTTTGAGGACGTTCTCCTTTATTCCAGTTTTTTCTGAGAGTTTATCTCATGAACAGGTATTGAATTTTATCAGTTATTTTTCTGTATAGATTAGTATGGTCATGTGGGTTTTTTTTTCCAGTTTGTTAATATTGTGGATTACACTGATTGATTCTTGAATATTGAACTAACCATGCATCTCTGATTAAATTCTACTTTTTATATACTGCTGAATTTTATTTGCTAATACATTGTTACAGATTTTTGTGTCTATATTCATGTATCGGTCTGTAGTTTTATTTTTTTTTTTGTACTCTTTTTCTGGTTTTTGTAAACGGAATTGGAAAGTGCTCCCTATTCTTGTATTTTCTGGAAATGATTGTGTTGACTCCTTTTTAAAAATTTGGTGTAATTCTCTGAGGAAACAGTCTAGGCCAGGAGATGTCTTTTTCCAGTGGTTTTTAATTATGAGTTCAATTTTCTTAATAGTTACAGGGCTATTCAAATTACCTGTTTCATTTTGGGTGAGTTGTAGGCTTTCCAGGAATTGGTCCACTGACACACAGAGTGGGGCTCCTCATTGCTGCTGGGCAGATGTGCATATTTCAGCTCTCCTCCATGCCTCCCCTGTATGCTACTCTGCATCCTTAACTGTTTCCTGCCATGGGCCTCTGCTGACCGTGCTGGGAGGGGATGGCTCCCCCCGCCACTACGGAGGTTGGTGAAAGTCTTGCCTCTTTACCAGGCCTTGCCTCATACTGCCTACATAGGGGTGGGAAGAGTACCTTGTAACTGTCACGGGAATACAGTCCAGGCTCTCCAGATAGTCTCCATAGACTCTGTGTGGCTGGGGAAGGGAGTCTTAAACCTACCTGGCAGGGAAGAAAGTCTGGCCTTTGATATCACCCCTGCAGGGGTAAAGGATTGGGTAAGGGAAGGAAATCACGTTGAGGGGTAACATTACAGCCTGGCGAGAGTGAAAGGTTGGCTCCTTGCTTGGCCTGTGCTGGCAGGGGTGGGGATGGGCCACGGTTGTGTCTGTGGGTTTTGGCTGGAGCGTAGTGTTTATTACCTAAAAGTTTTCTGTTTTGCTGTGCAGCTCTTTCTTGGTCCTTTGAAAGAGAGAGACTTTTTTGTCTAACCTCGTTTGGTGTTTCTGGATAACTGGCTTCTTCACCTCCATGTCCATATGGTATGTGAGACAAAAGGAAAACCCAGGGGACTCAGCACTGTGTTGTCGCGTAGGTCCCAGGTCCCCGGCTGGTTTGCCTTCTGCTCTCCACCTTCGGAGTCTTCTTTTGTTTGTCTCGGGTTTTTCATTGCACTTAGCTGGAATAGTAGGTAGGGGCAGTAGGTCTAATCGGTTTTCCCAGAGGTGGAAGTTGAAATGGGATTGTTTTTGTTTTTGTTTTTTTTCTTTAATGGAAGAAAACAAAGGGTGGAAACTAAGATATATAAATTGGCCAGTATGACACATAAGAAGTTAATTTTGGGTCAGTTACTTGGAAGTGATAGTCTAACTCTGTCTTTATTTCTCTAGAGAGTAATTCGGTGTGTCATTGTTCAGGAAAACCATGCCTTCATTCGATCTAGATCTCTTAAGAAGCTTGACAACCTAGTAGATTATTTCTGTATTTGTGCATGTGTGTGCATGTGCATGTGCATGTGTGTATATATATACATTTATAAATTCATAGTGAATCTAAATTTCTGGCTTCATATGTGACAGAGAAAATTTTGTCTTACTGGAAGATTCATTTTCTGGAGAGGATTCCATTTTTCTAGAGGTTGTTGGAAATCTTGAAGCTGTGGATTCTTTTCTACAAGGAGAGATACGCATTATGCATAGTGGTTAAGAGCTATGTAAGAAAATTTTGTGAAAGTCTTTTCAGTAACCAAAAGGAATACTGGGGTCTTCACTGGAAACTGTGTGATGTATAGAGCACTTTTCCAGTAGATTTAACCTATGGTATCTGCAGCTTTTGATTTTTCATTTATTTTACAACTTTTTAAGTTGTTAGAAACTGACAGCAATGCAAATTTTTTTTTTCTGTAAGCTTATTTATTTATTTTGAGAAAGAGAGAGAGAGTGAGCAGGCAAGGGAGAGGCAGAGAGAGAGAAAAAGAGAGAATCCCAAGCAAGGTCCACACTGCCAGCACAGAGCCCAACGCAGGGCTCAAACCCATGAACCGTGAGATCATGACCTGAGCCAAAACCAAGAGTCACTCAACTGAGCCATTCAGGCACCCCAGATTATTCTTGTCCTTAGATATGCTGATGAATTTTTTGGTTGGAGATACAATTTATCTCATTTCCTCTTTTCTGCAAAAGTCCAAGTTTGGATCTATTAAGCAAGTTTGTTTCACCATTTCTTTTCTTTCTTTTTTTTTTTTTTAACGTTTATTTATTTTTGAGAGAGGCAGAGGGAGAGAGGGAGGGAGGGAGGGGGAGAGAGAGAGAGAGAGAGAGAGAGCGCGCACAAGCAGGAGAGGGGCAGAGAGAGAGACAGACAGACAGACAAAGAGTCCAAAGCAGGCTCCAGGCTCTGAGCTGTCATAACAGAGCCTTGTGAAGGGCTTGAACCTACAAACCATGAGATCATGACCTGAGTTGAAGTCAGATGCTTAACTGATTAAGCCACACAGGCGCCACTTATTTCACCATTTCTGATTGCCTATATGTTTGTGCCTTATGGATTTGCTTTGGAACCAGATGGGACATCTTATTTGGACCATAATTAATTAGTTAGTGAAGTAAAATCATAGACAGGTGTTCATTTTATATTTGCATGGAAGACACAGAGTTATCTTTTTGTTTGCTTAAATGATCCATTAACAGCTTGAACTGTGAATTTAGCCTGATGGGCTTGAATACCATGGTAGCATTTACTGTCATTGTGATTTGGAGTAGGGGATTTTGTTTTTTAACCTGTTTACCCACTGGGAGAGTGCTGTTTCTCTGAGGATTAAGAGAGATGTAGCAAGTCACACACTTCTCACAGTACCTCCTACATCTTCAGAACTCTGTTTTGTTATTATAAGGCTGTGGACAATTGGGGCGCCTGGGTGGCTCAGTCGGTTGAGTGTCTGATTCGATTCAGGTCCTGATCTCACAGCTTTTGAGTTCGAGCCCTGCGTCAGACTCTGTGTTGACAGCTCAAAGCCTGGAGTCTGCTTCAGAGTCTGTGTCTCTCTTGCTCTCTGTCCCTCCCCCACTCATGTTCGTTTCTCTCCCTCTCTCTCTCTCTCTCTCTCTCTCTCAAAAATATTTAAAAATTTTAGGGGGGTGGGGGGATGGGCATGGAGGAGGGCACTTTGGGGATGAGCACTGAGTGTTATGTGGAAACTAATTTGACAATAAACTATTTGTAAAAAAAAATATTTAAAAATTTTAGAAGGCTGTGGACAACTGATTTTATTTTTCTGAGACTTAAGTTTTTGTAACAAAAAATGAGGGGGCTTTTTTCTTGATTGTGAGGTCCTAGATTTCACTGGACCTACTGATAACAGTTGCTTTTGGAAGTGAGAACATTTTAAACGTGCAAGTGACCTTGCTGCTCTGCGAAAGGGAAGTGGACAGTCTGATCTGGTGAGCAGTTCCTTAGAACAGTGGCCTGGTAATTCAATTCAGTAAACGTTGGTTGTGAAGATCCTGTTTTGCCTTCATTTGTACTAGGCAGAAGCATTAGGGCTGGAAATGTGTTAACAAAGTAACAAAAAATATTGTCTTTTTGCCTTAAAAAAATTTGGGGCCTGGATCCTGATAGATGGAAGGCTATATTTAGAGCTCAGCATCTTGATGGACATGGGCATGCTCACAAGGGAGTAGAACTGGAAAGGGCTGAATTTTGCTTAATCTAGGAGTAACTGTTTGGAGTTTCAAAGGTGATTTTTGGGGGGAGTAGGACATGAAGCGAGAGAAGGAGAGGGAGGAGCTGGAAAGATGGCTCAAGGGTGTCTGTTACATAAATTGATTATTCCCTCTGACCCTCAGTGTTTACAAACGTTTTCCTTAAGGAATTTTTGGGGCTTTTGAGGTTCAGGTGCTGGCAGTATGGTAGACTTGGTGAATTGATTGAGAGGAGATCTTCAGAGGCTGAGAGAATTGAAGCCCTTTAGAAATTAGCAGTGGTTTGGGGGAAGACCCTGGCTTTCTGTAGATTATGTAATTGGAGCAAGTTGGGGAATGGTTCGAGCCAAGGGCATCCTCAGCTACTATTAGCTTACGATAATGAAAATAAAGCTGAATGCAGAATAAGGAGTATATGTGTAGCTGGATAACTATAGTTATAATTGGTTTACATACTATAATGGAATTAAGTACTACTATAAACAAGAATAACAATCTGCCTAATGCAAACATATTTTAAAGTTTTATGCAGAGTAAAATGGTCCTTTTAATTTGGCTTTGGACTCAAGAGTCCAGGAAGTGGGGCGAGTGTGTCATGCCTGCTTTTTTTTTAATGTTTTTTTTTGTTTATTTTTTTAAAAAATATTGTATTTCTTTTTATTTTTTAGAGAGAGAGAGAGACAGCGTGAGCAGGGGAGGGTCAGAGAGAGAGGGAGACACAGAATCCGAAACAGGCTCCAGGCTCTGAGCTGGCTGTCAGCACAGAGCCTGATGCAGGGCTTGGACTCATAAACTGGGAGATCATGACCTGAGCCAAAGTCGGACTTAACTGGCTTAAACTGACTGAGCCACCCAGTTGCCCCTAATGTTTTATTTTTGAGAGAGAGAGAGACAGAGCATGAGTTAAGGAGAGCCAGAGAGAGAAGGAGACACAGAATCTGAAGCAGGCTCCAGGTTGTCAGTACAGAGCCCGACATGGGGCTCAAACTCACAAACAGTGAGATCATGACCTGAGCCGAAGTTGGACGCTTAACTGACTGAGCTTCCCAGGCGCCCCTCACGCCTGCTTTCTTTAGGTGGATCTTAGAATTCCTCTAGCCATCTTTGGAACTTGAATACACCAAATGTCATGGAGTGTGGGGAAGGGAGCTGCCCCTTACCACATTCCTTCTGGAAGTTGCTATCTGGGCTTAGATTTTGCCCTCACTCTCCATATTCTGGCTAGGAGTGTTGCTCTCTGGGAAAACCAAAGCTCCAAGGGCAAGGCCAGTTTAACATCACTGCCTCCCTTGCAGTCTGGAGCTTGGGGGCATGGGACACTTTGGGCCCTTACCACACTCTTCTGGCATTCCTGTCCTGATTTAGCACTACAGGCAGCACAGTCTCTCAGATTCCTGAGTCAATAAGACTGTTCATTAATGTAGTCAGTAATAGAATGTGTCATTTCCATGGGCCCATTGTATCCTTTTGATACCGGGAATCATCTGACTAGCCCAGTATGCCATTCCCAGTCTCCTCTTTCCCTTTCTAACATTTGTCACCCTCACTGGCTGAAAGAGTTGAGACTCTCTTCTGGGGTGCTTGCAACGGGAGAAGGTGATATGTCCAGTGTCTGTCCCAATCACATGGGGGCCCCTAGATGTGGGGCAACGATTGGGTGTGGGACACTGGCATGGGCCGTGAGAGGATTCGCCCAAGACAGAACAAAAGAGATAGGAGTTTATTGAATACACCTCAAAAGAGAGCCAGCAGGCAGGATGGCAGAAGAGAGGCTGTCTGCCGTGAGGTAGGAGGTGGGGGCTGTCTTTAAAGGGGGAAGGTGAGGAGGTATGGGGCCATAGGGAATTTTCCCTTTTTTGGTAACTGTGTCTGGTTGTAAGCAGCCCTTTGGTTAGTTACGGCCTATGGATATTTCAAAGTGGGTGGCTTGATGGGCATGTCTGTATTCAGCCAGGGCAGTCTCTGTGGGCCCTTTCGCCTTGACCAAGTTTCCAGTGCTCAAGCCTGTTGTCTAAAAGCCACCTCTATGATATGTACATTGTGGGGTAAAATAAGTTGTGCTTCTGAAGTATGGGCCATTAACATGGCAATTTCCAATTAATGAATGTACTTTCTAAAAGCTGGACGGTAAAAGCTTTAAGTAAACTCTGTGATGGTGTCTGTGCTTTAAGTGTTTATCCTGCTTCATGAATCTGAACAGGAGAATTTTCTGAATTGATTATAGTTGTTCTGTTTATGTTGTGCTGTTGAAATGTTCTATGGTTGTTCCATAAACTTTTCCTTGAAAAAATAAACACTTCTGTTAGATACATTGTAAGTTTCCTGTTGATAGATAATAAAATGGTCCTTTTCTGTCAAAGAACAAGACCTAGCATTTCTGTTTGGTATTTGGTTATGTGGTTCTTTTTGAATCTTTCTGTTAAAAATGAAGCACCATTTTGTTTAGAGTCCAAAATATTAAATGGAGTATGTTCTAGGGTTCAGCCCTTAAGTTTTCTGCTCAGTGAAGTAACTAACTTGCTTTTGTTTGACTCTAGTAAATGGATAGCTAGCAGGTATCCTTCCTTGAGTAGTGAGGCCTTCCTTTGGTGGGGGGTGGGGGGGTGGGGCTGTTAGGGAATCTTATCTATGTGGATAAGTCTGAAGACTGAGTCCACCATGTCCTTCTCCATCTCTAGGTGCACATTCTTCATCTGTCTGTGTCCTTTCAAAATCATTGGTTGTTGCCTTCAACCTCAACTTGGTTAACACTAAATTCATTCTTACTCCCTTCCTCAGTTCCCTAGTGGATGTGTCTCTGTCTGTCTGTTTAGTCATCCAGCCTTGAATTGTTTTATTTCAATTTGACCCCACCGCCACCCCCTTTTTTTAAGGCTTTTGAAGTTGTTTCTTTTTTCTTTATCATCATTATGCTTGCATTATTTTGATAGCCTTCTAGGTTTCTAAAATAATAGCTTCCATTTATTGTCATGTGATATAATAAAGAATATGTCTGGTTCTTGTCCCTGGATCCAGATGTGGAGCTTCAATAACCCTTGGAATTTTCTGAGTAGGGGTAGGAGTATCTTTTGTTATTCATAATGAGCCCCCTTTGACCTTACCTGAGTTTATGGTGATCACATGACTTAGGGATGGGCCCTTAGATAGTTTCAAGGGAGGGTCTGGGAAAGACTTAGCTCTCAATTAGAGGGTTGGAACTTTACCACTCCTTGATCTCTGGGGTGAGAAGAGCGACTGGAGATTGAGTCCAGTCATGCACAGATCATTCAATCAACCATGCCTGTGTAATGGACCCCTTTATATAAACTCTGGGACACTGGAGTTTCCAGGCAGGTAAACACATGGTTGTGCTAAAAGGGGGACACCTGAATTTCTCCAAGAGAGGGAGAGCATGGAAGTTTGAATCCCTCCATTCTGTTCCCCTAGACCTTGCCCTATGCATGTCTTCCACTTGGCTGTTGCTGAATTTTATCCTTTATAATAAAGCTGTAATTGATTAAGTATAGTGTTTTCAACAAGTTCTGTGAATCATTATAGCAAATTATTACACTTGAAGGAGGGTTGTGGGAGCCCTTGAATTTGTAGCGGAGTTAGACAGAAGTTCTGATAGCTTGGGGAATGTGTGCTCCAAAGGCAGTCTTGTTGGGTATCTTGCCCTTTAACTTGTGGGATCTGATACTAACTCTGGCTAGCATGCCCAGATCGAATTGTAGGATACTCAATTGATATCAGAGAACTGGTGGCAGGATGCAGTGTTTATTCTTTGGTAGGCATTATGGTATGTATTATTTTATGTAATATTACAGCTAGGTAGGTTCATGTTTTATCATCCTTGTTTTATAAAGAAAGTGAAGCTTTTATTTTTTTATTATTTTTTAAATACTTATTTATTTTTAATGTTTATTTTTGAGAGAGAGAGACAGAGACAGAGATAGAGTGTGAGCAGGGGAGGGGCAGAGAGAGAGGGAGACACAGAATCTGAAGCAGGCGTTTAGGCTCTGAGCTGTTAGCACAGAGTCCGATGTGGGTCTTGAACTCACAAACCACGAGTTCATGAACTGAGCTCAAGTTGGATGCTTAACTGACTGAGCCATCCAGGTACTCTGAAAATGAAGCTTTTAAAAAGTCCTGTAGCTTGCCCAAGGTCCTAGAGCTGGAAGTGGCACACCTAGTGCTTTCTGATTATAAAATCCTTACTTACCCCTTTTTGCTGAGCTCCCTCTTGATTGAAGGGTTGGAACCTTACCAGCTCCCCCTCTGGCAGCTGTGGACTGAGGACTGCTTTTTCTACATCACTATGGAGCTCAGGAACTTGGAATTCTCCATTATGGTAGGATGGAACCCACACTCCTTAGGCAGCTACTCAAGACTCAACCACAGTTCATCAGGTCCAAAGTAATAATATTGTCCTAGTCTTTATATAGAACAAAAGAAAACAAACACCTCTTGTGTTTCTTGGGTGGGCTACTCAGTGTGTATCTCCAGTGAATTGCTTTGGAAATAGAAGATATATTTTCTAGTTCCTTATGAACTATAATTGAGAAGTCAGAATTTATTAAAAGATGTCAATATAAAAATAGCACATGATGACCAAGTGAGCAGTACAGATCATGAAATATTTCTGGAATTCAAAAGAGCAGTTCATGGAGCAGATGTTATTTGAGTATGGTCCTGAAGAGATGGTAGGATTTTGGTAACTAGTGGGGGAGAGGACCCTGCTAGGCAGGAAGCCCTTGAGTGAAAAGGAATGGAGAAGGTTGGTGGACATGTTCTGGAAGTTGGTGTTGATGGCAGTGAATGCTTCAGTTTATCTGGAGGGGGACCTTTCCTGAAGCCTGGATCTGCTGCCGGTCTCAAAACGTGTCTTCAAAAGTTTTAGCATACTGATTTAACTAACTGAATTTGTGCTAAAACTTTATTATTTGAAGCTACAGTTGTTTGTAATTAGATGACTTAGGGTCAACCTAGGTGATCACTTCAGGTGATCATGTGGTTAATCCCAAATTTACTTAAAAATAAGGTGTAAATACAATTGAGAATTACCTTTTCATCTGTCACTTGAGCTGACCAAAGGATATTTCAAACTGTACAAGTTTGAAAGTATTTTTAGTAGTACAACATCAGAATAAGTGTATTCAGAGTAACTAGTCTGAAGGAGGTAGCATTCTTTGTATTGGGTAAATTTGGATGAATATCTTGTTTGTTTGTTTATTTATTTATTTATTTATTTATTTATTTATTTATTTATTTATTTTGAGAGAGTGCCAGAGAGAGAAGAGAGAAAGAAAGCACGAGTTTGGGGTGGGAGGGAGTGAGAGAGCAAGAGAGCAAGCGAGAGAGAGAGAGAAGCAGGGAGAGAAATATATCCAAGCAGGCTCCTCACTGTCAGTGCAGAGCCCCACATGGGGCTCAAACTCAGGAACCCTGAGATCACCACCTGAGCCAAAATCAAGAGTCGGACGGACGTCCAACTGACTGAGCCACTCAGGCGCCCTGAATATATGTTTTAAAAGTTTCTTTGTATATGACTCACTACATCGTTTTATACTCAGTCTCCTGTGTTCTGTAGAGTTTGAATTGGATCTTTTCGTTCCTGACCGGTAACACTGTATTGGTCACTGGGCTCCCATTTAAAAAAGGGAGAATGTGGGGCACCTGGGTAGCTCAGTCAAGCATCCGACTCTTGATTTCGCCTTAGATCTTGATCTCAGGGTTTGTGAGATTGAGCCCTGCATCAGGCTCTATGTTGGCAGCATGGAGCCTGCTTGGGATTCTCTCTTTCTGCCCCTCCTTTGTGCCCTCTCTCTCACAAAGTAAATAAACTTAAAATTGGAAAATGTGCCCTGTAAAATTATGGCTTAACAGACAATCATTTTTTTTTAAGTTTACTTAATTTGAGGGGTGGGGGAGTGGGAATTCGAAGCAGGCTCTGAACCATGAGATTTTAAGTTTTGGACGCTTAACCAACTGAGTCACCGAGGTGCCCCAGACCATCAGTTTTTATAAGTGACCTGCACTGTGGATACTTAGGAAAAAAGGCTATGACATTAGGTATTGGTCCATTGATTTTGTTTTAATTGAGGTGAAATTCACATATATTAAAGTGAGCAAATCAGTGGCATTTAGTACATTCAGTGTTGTGCCACCACCACCTCTGTCTAGTTCCATAATACTCCATTATCTAGAATTCCTTCTCTACCTACCTATACCTTTAAGCATATGCTTCTTTTTTTTCCTCAGCCCCTGCCAACCACCAATCTACTTTCTGTCTCTATGAATTTGCCTCAAGTCTTGTTTATTTTACTTAGTGTAATGTGTTTGAGGTTCATCCATATTGTTACATATATTAGTACTTGATTCATCTTAAAGGCTGAGTAATATTTCCTAGGTATACACCACAGTTTATTTAGCCATTCCTCCATTGATGGGCATTTAAGTTATCTCTACCTTTTAGCTATTATTACAAAAGCATACTGTTGCTTTTGTAAACATTTGTGGACAAGTATTTGTTTCTAGTCTTTCTTGGTAAATACCTGGGAGTGGAATTGCTGGGTGATATAGTCATTCCATATATAATTTTTTGAGGAACTGTTAACCTGTTTTTCACAGCAGATGCACCATTTTATACTCTCACCAGCAACATTTAAGGAGTCCAAATTTTCCATGTTTTCACCATTACTTGTTATTTCCCATTTAAAAAATTATGGCTACCCTTGTTCTGTATGTAGTGCTATTTCACTGTGGTTTTGATTCGCATTTCCCTATGACAATGACTGTGAGCATCTTTAATGTGCTTATTGACCATTTGTATGTCCTCTTTGGAGAAAGGTCTATTCACATCCTTTGTCCTTTTTAAAAAGTTATTTGTCTTTTTGTGGTTGAGTCATGAGAGTTCCTTACTTTCTGGATACTAAACCCATGATTTGCAAACATTTGCTTTTAGTCTGTGGGTTGTGTTTTTACTTTGTTGATAGTATCTTTTGATATACAAAAGTTTTAAATTTTGATTAAGTCCAATTTATCTATTTTTTTCTTTTGTTGCTAGGGCTTTTAGTGTCATCTTTAAGACTCCATTGTCAAATCTGAAGTCATGAAGATTGACCTGTGTGTTTTCTTCTAACAGTTTTATGGTTTTAGCTCTTGCATTTAAATTGTTGATCCATTTTTAGTTAATTTTGTCCATGGTATCATAGAGAGGCCAGCTTCATTCTTTTGCATGTAAATGTCCACTTACTACCATTTATTGCAGACTATTTTTTACCCATTGAATGGTCTTGGCACCCTTGTCAAAAATCAATTGACCATAGATGTATGGGTCTATTTCTGTATGCTCTCAATTCTATTCCATTGGTCTGCATGTCTCTTCTTATGCAGGTAGCACACTGTTTGGATTATTGTAAACTTTGTAGCAAGATTTGAAGTTGGGAAGTGTGATCCTTCAGCTTTGTTCTCCTTTTTCAATACTGTTTGGCTACTTGGGGCTCTTTGTAATTCTGTGAATCTGATGATCAGCTTTTTTATTTCTGCAAAAAAGGCCCTTGGCATTTAGACAGATATTGCATTAAATCTGTAGATTTCTTTTAGGGGGAAAGCTTTCAGTCTTTTAAGTATGATGTTAGCTATGGGCTTTTCATAAATACCCTTGTTTTTCTTTTAAGCTAAACAAATTTTTCTAAATGGAATTAATTGCAAAACTTGAAGCTAATTTAAAAAGTTTGTCAGCTTATGGGAAGTAGTCTCAAAATTGAGAACAGAAGTTTTTACATGTTAGTAATTTTTGCATTCAGTGGTTACATGGTCAGGAATATACAGAAAACATTTATGGTAAAGGAGAAAAAAGGAGACAGGGCCTTCAGACCTCATTGACTATATATAGGGTTTTACACCCTGAACTGTTGCAGTTGACAATTACATCTGCTTCTGAAGCTTCACTTTTATTATTGGCTTGTGAAAAAGTACATATTGAGACTTACAAAATTAAAAGTTTTTCTACTGAGAACAGACTGAATGTTGATGGGGGAGAGAGGAAAATGGATGATGGGCATGGAGGAGAGCACTTGTTGGGATGAGGAGTGGGTGTTTGTTATATGGAAACCAATTTGACAGTGAACTATAGTAAATAATAAAATAAAATGAGTCTCTTCTAGACAGCAAAAAAAAAAAAAAAAAGTAAAAGTTTTTCATGTGATAATTTCTTTCTTGTAAATGTTCCTAAATATTAGTTTTGTTTGTTTTGTTTTGTTTTCCTTGAGGCTTATACAAGAGGAAAGGACCATGGGCTAATGGCTGCATCAGAATTGCTCAGAAAAATGGGAACTTTTTTCCTTCTTATCAAAATGGAAGTGCCCTTAGAGTTAGAATACACATTGTTCTTGCATTATGTAAACTGCCTTATCACATGAATTTTCTATAGATGTTTTAATGACAATCAGATAGGTTTTGTGCAGATGTTTAAAAAATATTTATTTATTTATTTATTTATTTATTTATTTATTTATTTATTTCGAGAGCTAGGGAGGGGCAGAGAGAGAATCCTAAGCAGGCTCTGCCTTTTGAGGGCACTTCCACATATGGGGTTCCATCTCACAAACCAAACTGTGAGGTCATGATCTGAGCCTAGATCTGACTGAGCCAACTAATGATCTGAGCCTAGATCTGACTGAGCCAACTAGGCACCCTTGTGGAAAACAGTTTTGATAGACCAGGTCTTGTACGTATTGTTTTGTAGAGAGTCAGGAGACATTACCTTTTTTACTCATTTCAGATATTTTCAGTTTTTAAAATAGTTTTTGGAAAAAACCCAAGAGCCCTATTAGAATAATTTTGCTTCTTTAAGTCTTGTTGGCAACTTCCTCCCTGCACCCCTCCCCCCGAATCTTTTGTGCCATGTTTAGTAATGCATTAAGTGAGACTCTTAAATCAAAGATGAGAAAGAGGAAAGATTTCTGTGAATCAGTGTGTTGCCTAAAACTATTTTTGTATTAAACAAATTATATCCTTCTCTCCAACCTCTCTGGAGTATAAAAAATAGTATAATGATTTGTTGTCTCTAAATATAATTGATTTTTGATGTACAGTAGTATATCCATGGCCTCACCAGTCAACAGAGAGCAGGTGTTTCCTCTTGGAAGATAGTTTGCCTATATATATTTATAAACATACATGTTATAAATACATATAATATAAATAAATATATATAAATAAAATAAATGAGTTTGTTCTGAACAAGGGCAGGATATTTGTGTGTGTGTTTTAGTGAGGCTTC